AGGCTGCGTTATACTGCGCTGGAATTCGTTCAAGAACCACTGCTGGAGTTGTTTTTAAGTTAGCTGAGGGTGTTGTTGTGCATATTGACGAAGGGCCTTCCTTTAAGAGACTGAAAGGCCAGGTGTCTTGCGGTCTGAAGGCATCTTTTTGATACCTGGTTTAGCCAATAAATTGATCAGGTTAAGGCAATATAGGCAGGTAAGAGGTTCACACCGAATTTTAGAAGTTGAAGCTGAAAGTATAGCGTTAAAGAGGTTATGTTCCTACGGAATATTGCGTTATCCAGGTTTGACTGTAGGTGTTCGCCCTCCTTCTCGTCAAAGCTTCAGGATCGTTGGTCCATTTGTGATCTGACATATATACCGTGTGACCCTTCGAGTACCTGAGTCCTTCTTGCTTCTCTGCTTTGTTAGATGAGTAGGATTGCTGTTGGCTTGATCGCGTGCGGTACAAGAAGACAGACGGCCTGCTTGGGGACCGTTGGCCTACTCACAAAGAAACTTGGAGAACAAAGCAACACCGGATCGATATCAACCTTCGGATACTCGATATTGAACAGGAACATACACTTCCAGAGTCGCTCGATAACTACCATGGGGGAGAGACATCTTTCAATTGCAGATGAACAGGCGAAGCATCAGGTCCGCTTGCCTAAGAAGCTGATCGTGTGCTGCGATGGTGAGTAACTCAAAGAGCATCAATCTGACATTTCTAATACTTCATAGGTACTTGGATGGACAGGGACAATGGCTGGTCCAAGGGCAAGTTCGGCCGACCTGGAAAGCCGCAGTCCCCTTCCAACGTAACAAGGATCGCCCGCGCCATCTTGCCCGAAGACGAGTCCAAGCATCCGCAGATCGTCTACTACCAAGCTGGTATTGGCACAGGCCTTGGGCTGTACGATCAATTACTAGGTGGAGGCACTGGTATGGGCCTTTCAGAGAACATCCGCGAAGCCTATGCTTTCCTGGCCAGCAACTACTCGCCCAGGGACGAGATCAGCGAACCTGATTCAATCTTCCTTATGGGGTTCTCCAGAGGGGCATTCACAGCACGGAGTCTGGGCGGCTTTATCGCCGCTGTAGGCATTCTCACCAGAAAAGCCATGCCCTATTTCTATGACTGCTTCAAAGATTGGGAGAACGCTGGCGTCGATGGCTATGAGCCACAGTTTTTCCAAGTATACGCTCAAGCTACTGGAGAGACAGACGTGCTGAAGAACCTCCCTAAACTCAAGCCACCGCAATCACCCGAAGAAAATCAGATCGACACCTATATGGCAGCCTACCTTAAGCATCTTCTATCCCTAGGCCTGACTCAGGAAGTTCAGATCAAATGCATTGGCGTGTGGGACACCGTGGGCGCTCTTGGAATCCCAATTAACCCGCTCTTCCAGCGTGTATTGGCAATGCCGGCGTTTGTGAAGGAGTATCGCTGGTATGATACAAGACTCAGCGACAAAATCGATAATGCTTTCCACGCTCTGGCTCTTGACGAACATCGCTTCCCATTCTCACCGGCCGTGTGGGAACTCGACAATGGCGGCAAGACTAATGTCAAACAGGTCTGGTTCCCAGGCGCCCATTCGAACTGCGGAGGGTCATATGAAGACTACGGTATGGCCAACATAACTTTGGCATGGATGATGGACCAGCTCTCCGGCAACAGTCGTCCCGCAGCAAAGGACTTCGATCCCGTCGACTGGATCCGATTCGACGACGACTTCATCGATCAATGCTTCAAGCACACCAGCAAGTACTACGCCAAGAACGGAGCAGAAGGAGAGGACTACTCCGGCTGGGCCATGGGCAAAGTCTATGATTCTAACACATTCCCACAATCCCTCACCGGCGCAGCAACCCGAACGCCCGGCCGCTACCCGCGAACCGACTACGAAACCGGCCGGTACTCCACCACGCAAATGCTCCAAAACACGCACGAATCCATCCACTCCTCGGTCCGCGCACGCATGGACCTCGCAGGCCGGGAAGTCGAACCGCAAGAATGGTACCAGAAATTCTCCCGCTGGCTCTACCGCACCCTCACCCTCCAAAAACTCATCAAACCCTACCACCCACAACGCCGCAAAGGCCTCCTCCCGGCGACCGGCGGCCCGCTCGAAGGATGGAAGCTCGTCGACGGCCACGCCTCACACGCCGAACCGAATCACGAGATCGACATGAGTCCCGGGGGTGTCAAACAGGTCCACTGGGAGTATTCCGGCAAAGGGCGCGTGTCGACGAAGGTCATGAAGGAGGATGTCTTTGCGGAGAGGGGCTATGAGCAGCGGTTGCTGGAGCATGATCAGGCGATTGCGGAGCAGGTGATGTATTCGAATAATCGGTGGAGTTGGTTTAAGAGGCCGAAGAGGCAGAGTGGGGTTGTCAAGACTTTTTAGGTGAAGAGATGGGAGTGTGTGCTTCTTGATGAGGGTGCAGGATGATGATGTTGTTTGGCGAGCGAGCGATTGGCATGGTTTTAACGGGCTATGATTATGATTATGGTTATGAGAGCATTCCTTTAGCGATGAGATACCATAACTGAAGCGGAGCTGTTTTGTTATGAATGGGAAGAACTTGAAATTGGCTTCCTCCCGACTGTAGTGTACAGTGAACAGGTAAAGTTCAGGACCCAGTAAGCTAGGGAGTGAGAGCACGAGGAAGTCAGATCGATCTTAACACGAGAATTCAAGTGTGCAGTAAGCCAGGGAGTAAAGAAATAAGTGCTCTGAGTCTCTCTGCGATCATCGTCGCCTCATGAACCACGCAGTCACCAAAGACGCAGCCGCGGCACCAACCAAGACCCCTATTCCCAACTCCAGATATCGACTTCTAGGCTCTGAGGCTTGCCGTGCAGGTCTCTGCACACCTCTCGATTTACCAGCAAGATGACCAGGTTTCTGCTTCTGGCCATACGTCACATGCAAATCCATCACTTTCCTCAAGCTGTCGTCTCTCATATCTCGCTTGACCTCGCCAATAAAGGTCTTCGTATCTTCCAGATTCCAGCCCAGGACTTTCGTGAAGAGTATGGTCGTGAACCCTTCCATCCCTGATATCGCCGAAAGCATAGTTCTCGCGCCTAACGAGCGCTCTGTCGGGTCCGAGGGCCATGTGCCGTATTTGTGCGCGAACACTTGTTCGTTCACTTGAGTGAGGCCGGCTTCTTCTTGGAATGTTTTCAGATGCGGTCCGAGTTGGATCGGACGGCCTCGCTTTGTAGCCGCTTGATCGAGCAGACGGTTCCATTTGAAGACTGGTCGTAGCTCATCGATGTTCTCGGACATCGGTAGCGGTTTGTCATCCTCGTCCACGAGATATTGATGGCAAAGCGAAAATTCCTGATGCTCGACCCAACCTCCTGGGGCTAGATGCTTCAAGATCTTGGACATCATCTGGTTCCAGTCCGCCACGCATCCATGCACCAGGCTAAGATGAATAAGGTCGAAGTAATCCTCCGGGTAACGCCATTCAGATTCCATGTCCTGAGTGATCCACTCGACATTTGCCGGCTTGTTCTTTGGTTGGACCGGGCTGACGTCCATGCCAATGATGAAAGCAGAAGGATAGTCCTCGGCCATTTGGAGACACCATATGCCGCTGCCACATCCGATGTCGAGGATCTTTAGTCCGTGCTTGTCTGGAAGAGGTGCGAAATGTAGAGTGCCGCCTTTGACTTGAGTGAGGATCCAATGCTGTTCATTCAGTCTTTGAATCTCGGGTTCATCGTTGGGCATATAGTATTTCCCGAGTTCGGTCGAGGCGTATCGACGTCCATTCTCGTAAGTCCAGTTGTAAGCGCTTTCAAGTTCGGATTCGATGTTCTTCTCTCTGCTAAATGGTTAGCTCCGTGTCTACTGAATGGACTGTAGTTCTGTGTCGTACAGTGTTTCTACGTCGACCAGCTTCCCAGGATGTGTAGGCTCGGCACTCGCTCGGCTACCTGTCATGGCGTCGCTGCAGGTACAATGTCAGTCGTTGATCACGGCTTTTATGCTGAATCGTTCCAAGAGTGTGCGACTCGCGGATGCGTCTAGGGTCAATAGTGTATCGCACTCGATTAGTGAAGATCGCGAAGTCACAAAAGAGAGCGTCCGCTTTTCAAGCGGTTCACCGATCAAGTATTCACGGCTCTATCATGGCAACAATGTCTCCATTCAGATGGAGCCCCGTTCGGAGCCGAGTCACAGGCAGTTTGCAGTAGTCCACTGCCGGCGTCCATCGCTTGCTAATGGAGCCAATGGCCTGTAAGACGGACTGCATGGAGATGCACCACTCGCTCGGCGGATGCACTGCCAACGCGGCAATGCAGATTTTGGTTCCTTGAGGATGGGGAGGTGAGAGTGAGGTGGAGTGAGCGAGCGAATGTGAAGTGTGGCATGAACAAGGTTCGCGGAAGAAGGGGGCCGATCCGAGAGGTCTGTGCGCTTTGTGTGGTGTCGCGCCAGTCAACCTCACTCCATCTACGACGTACTTTGAATGTTTACTGAGATGTAACATCCTTCCCATCCCACCTCTTGCGAGCCATCTGAACAGCTCAAGGTGCGATTGACAGCGTGGTCGCCTTGGAGACTTGGAGAGATCACAGCCAGATCAATGCTTTCACTTTGAGCGGAATGGCTACTCCGGACTTCTCTCGATCAGCAAGGCTTGCGCCGAACAGCTGGGTCCACGTGGAAAGTATGTTAACGGCCAGGGCAACGCGAACAATGAGACAGGGTGCGCTCACGACAACTCCCCAGTCTATAAGAGACGACTCTCGAGCTTCGTGAGATGACCTCGACTCACGCACGCGATTATCGAAGTCATGCGCAAGTCATGGTATTTCCGATCGTTTTCAGGCAGCCAAGCCCCTGATCGTACCTCAGGCTGCGAAGACGGCTTGCGAGTTATGGGGATTAACGGGATTGATGGGCGCACCTCGCCGGTACCCTTTCTACTTCTCTTGCAAAGGAACAGTCACCTAAAGCTTTGGTCTTACGCTCGATACCGGGCAGGTCTTGAGGAGGAGAGACACTATCCAAGGTCTTGCAACTCTAAATGCGACTACCAGAGAACCGGCTTTCCAAACTCACAGTTTGAGCAGAGACCCACCACAAACAACCACCAGCTCTCTTGACACTGCCAAACTTTTCGTATGTCAAGCAGCACGGCTACTCGAGGCCAGTATCTCCACGTGATGGTTGTTGTTTGTTTGCTCGAGTACCGTGTGAACTCTGCCATGTCGCGTTTCAGTCGAGCAATCAACATTGATGGTAGATAAATATTTTGTGTCTGTGACCTGTCTGAGCGTGAGATCTTTCCTTGAGAACAAGTCTACAGGAAACCTTCTTAACGCGAACAGACGTAAGTTGCGGAAGAGTTACGTGGTGATGTCCATACCTAACCAATTCCCCAGCACCTGAACACCAAAATGGATTCACCACCAACATACTGGCAATCCGAGCTCCACAACCCAATCTACGAAGCCGAAACCACCATCCTCTTCGACCAAGTCCGCAGCCGCTTCCGCGAAGGCATCTGCACGCTCGAAAACCTCCCCCGGTTCATGGAACTCCGAAGCCCCGCCGACTGCAAAGAACACACTAAGGGCATCGACAATCTCCTCGAGAGCATGGTCGCTCTGGCGCGATGGCTGGTGGGCTTTTCGGATCGGGCCACGGCTTGTCAGCAGAATTCTTTGTGGACTCGCGCGGCTGTTACGGGGTTGAGGGTTGAGTTGCATAAGTACTCGTGGGAAGTTATGCGGATTTCGATGATGTTGAGGCGGTCTTCGTGAGGGAATGGTGGATGGATGGGTGGGCCGATGTTTGGCGTTTGGAGGTAGACGGGGACAGGCTCTGGTATCGTGGGTGAAAGCGTGATCTGACTGGTTGATGCTTGATTCTGGTAGAAAATGTTATGACGGCCGAATAATGTGTACGATTCTCAGCATCTCAATCAAGAAGCAAAAGGATGCCGACCAAACTGACTTCGATCTCCCATCACAACACCAGATCTCTGAACCCTAGTCGCAAAGTCCATAACCTCAGTATCGTACTCACCCGCCGAAATCTCGCCCCTGAGTAACCGGTCAAGCATGATAGCATCACAAGCAGCTTGACCAGTTGAAGCCGCCGTATGTGGCCGAAAGCCAGCTAGCGCGTCACCGACTAATAGCACTTTGCCATCGTAGAAGCGATTTGTTGGGCTGATAACATCGGTGATGGCTTGGATGAACGGATGCTCGGTCTTTTCAACCGCCTCAGCGTATTGAGGAGGTAGGACTCTCTTCGCGTGTGATTTTTGCTTCTCCCAAACTTGCGGCTGCATCGTATCCACGGGAAGCGTGATCGCGTGGCGTCGGCCATTGACATCGGTCATGAGCTCTTCGAGATCGTGACCGCCTTCTTCGTAGTTGCAGTACCAGACCCAGTTGAAGAGTCTTTTGCCGGGCTCAGTAGTACCATCTTGGCCTGGAATGAGGTAGCCGAGTGATTGAATCGCTTCGGAGTGGAAGAAGGTGAATTTCTCGATGAAAACCTTTATTGCTTCCGGCGATAGCTGATCCTCCGGCACTGTGCCTCGCCATGCGACGTAGCCAGCGTATTTACGCTCCACATCTGGTTGTAGTAGCCGTCGGATTGTTGACGAGGCTCCATCTGCAGCAATGACCAGATCGACGAGATCCGTCTGCTCGCCGCGGTCTCTGTCGGTCCAAGTCACTTTGACGCCACCCGGTACGTTCTCAATCTCCTTGACAGTGCAGCCGTTATTATAAGTTGCCTTAGGCCCCTCATTAGCCCCAAGACCCTCAACATAGCTGCTCTCCAGTCCTTCCACTCTCCATCGCAGCAAGTGATACAACAAATCCCACGAAGTCATCCGTTGCTGCCGATGCTCCACACTGTCGGGAATAATCTTGCCATCACGATCAAGATAATGTCGTAGACCGCTTGTGATGGCAATCTCCTTCCCAGGTTTGACGTATTCTGAAAAGAAGACTTGTGTTTCGTTTCCGGCCACTACGCCGGCTCCTTGGTTGTGAAGTAGTGCTGTGGGTGAGCGCTCCAAGATCCGGACCTTTGGCGGCGAAGGTAAAGAAAGAAGAGTCAAAGCATGCATCAGGCCACCTAGTGACCCTCCGACTATTATGACGGATTTTGGAGTCGTGATTGGCGCCATTGGCTGGATGTGTGCCTGTCCTCCAGGGATTGATGTGTAGATGTCTCTCGCAAGTCAAAGAGCTGTGAATCTTGCAATGGACGCTGAGTACTTGTTGATGAATAGATCTCTCACAATCGAAGACATCATTGATCAATACTATACCTGGCCCTGCTCACGAGCTACGAGAAGCTGAGGACGATCTCCTCACGTAGCGCCTCTGGCTTAGAAATGCACCTCCCAAACCCACGAGCATCCTGTACCGCCTTTGGAAGGTCGATGGCTGCTATGACATGGGCTGAGTTATTGTCTCGAGGCGTGATTGCAAATTCGAATAATGTGAGGATCATGGGCATGAGGAAGGAGAAGTCAAAGAAGTGCCGTCGGTAGAGGGGTGCAAGGACGCAGAGCCGTTGCCGGGCAACGAGCGAGTAAACAGACCGCTCACCCCACCAAGACCTCACCCAACTTCTTATTAGAGAGCAGCAGCACCGTTGCGAACCGCGATCTCGAGAAAAGACGATGAGTTTATGAGGAGAAGACGACGCTGCGGTTTGCTTGTACCACGGGTCTCGCGCAAATGGCGCGGCCAAGCAAGTCGAAACATTTCGCTATCTACGAGGACGCTGGCATTCCGACCCCAGATTCCGATGAATCCTACCAACCTTCTTTTGACGACGCTGTGAGAGCCCGGCAGGAAGCCATTGATGAAGAAGAAGAGGGGGATGATGATGTGTTCACGGAGCGGAGGTGCGATGAGGCGGTCAGTGATGGGAGTGAACTGGAGGACATCGAGGAGGCGGTGGAGGTGACCGACGACGAGCGCCGAGAGTCTGCTATTACTTCCACCTCTGTCTCATCTCTGCCAGAGTCATCGACCGATACAGACCAGGAAAGGTCATTGCCCATGCACAAACCCTACACACCACCGATGATCCGACCTTCGTTTCGCCGGCCAGAGTCTGTCCGACGGATGCAGATGACTTCACCTATCCCATTCGAACGCAGCCCTCGAAGGTCAGCTCTTCATTCGCAGTCACGATCTGGTACGCCGCGGTCGGCACGGTCCAGCGTCAAAGGCAGTCCACGATCGCGAAGGAGCCAGTATGAGGAGTGCGTGGAAGTGGAAAAGAAGGAATATCCGTTGGTATTGCTGCATGTCTCTCTGCTTCCGGTGGAGCTAAGATGGAGTATGGAGGCGATGCAGGAGGTTCTGCCACAGAGTACATTGGACAACCTGCAACGGCTGCGGTCGAAGGTCACGGAGACTATTCTTCAGCGAGGAATACTGATCCCACACCCAAGGGAAGAGTACGAACTGCTAGAGGAACGTTTGCTGGAGGCTCTAGAACTTCGCAAGGAGCGAGTGACCAAGTGTGGACATTTCCGTGCTCGAGACTCAATTTCTTCCGCATCATCAGAGGAGGGCAGCCTGCACAGCGATTCAGGTGTCGGTTCCAGTGTCGACTCCGATGGAGAGCTGTGCATAACTTGCAGGCACCACTTGAAGACTGCACGCCCTGTTCATGGATCCAGCGGAAGCAGGTGGAATATCAGAGTGTTTGCTGCCAACGGACTTATGCGGGCATCAGCATGGGCAGCTGCTTGGTCTGAAATGGAGAGGGTGGATGTCGAGATTTTGCCTTGGATCGGAGAGGATCTTCGTCGCCAGCTGGATGCAAGGATGGAGCAAGAAGATGTGGACGAGACCTTGAATGTGGAAAGTCCCAGTGACCCAATTCGCGAACCAGCGCAGGCGGCGCTGCCACCACCTCCCATGATCTCGGCAGCACCTCAAGAGACACCTGAACCAGAGGATCCTCATGCCGACTTGCCGCAAGTGTATCGAGCGAAAGACGTCCCTTTATCACTGCTGCTGAAGAACTATATCTTCCTGCTTGCCAAGGACAAACGCAATATCGCCATCTTCGGGCTCGCGGTTCTTGCAATGTGGTTGAGCTTGAGAGCGGCATTGGTATCTCCGACACTTGAGATATCTTCGTTACCTCCGGTCTGCGAGTTGAACAAGTCAGAGCCTGTACAGTTGGATACGAGTGAATCCCGAGCTGAAGATGAAGCCAGTGCTGCGGTCGAAGTCAATGCCAGCATTGTCGATATTGCTTTGACAGAAAAGAGTGTATCCAGTCCGATCGCGACGACTCCAGAGCCGGCCACAGACTTGGAGAGCACAATGTCAGACGATGCGGACCAAGCTACTGACATGCAATCCGTCGAGACTTGTGACAATCCGGCATCTGCAGTACGCTTGTTTCAGCGTGGTCACGAGGTGCTTGACGAAACCTGCGAGGCATGAGAAGTTGGAAAGCATGACGGCCGAACTGTTTGGAGCGATTTGCTGTAGTGTAGCGTAGCTTAGCGAAGCGTGGTGTCTGGCGTTGTAATTCAAGGGGATGTTGTTGGCGGCTCTACGCCCAGCACATCAACCAGACGTCTCAAAGTGCTCGCAATCACATCGTGTGTTCGTTCCGTCGCGTGGGCCTCGTCGATGATGCTTTCGACCTCCTTCCTGATCAACGGCGGTATGGCGTTGTACCAGAGCTTGGGTCCAATGATCACGAACTTGTGGAGGTCGAAGTCAATCGTGCCTCGAAAGTCCAAGATCCCGAACCGGTGCTTGATTGTAACGGTCCTCAGATTCATGCTGATATCGGGTTGCGATGAGATGACGTCGATCCACCTATCGACTTCAGCTCGAGCTCGACGATAATGGACAGCCAGGATGAATGTGTTGAGGCGATAGAACATGGCTAGCGTCTCGCGCCGGAGTTGTCGTGATACTCGAAGAAGCGAAGATTGAGTGCATTGCTTCGCCGCATCGCCGCCGAATATCTTGGGCGCCAGGACGGAGAGGTTGTAGGAACCTCCAGCTCCCAGTGGATACTGTTCTTGCAAGGCGTGCTCGTATATCTCGAGACGGAGCTCGGCTGGTAGAGCTAGGAATCGTGAGGGAGTCATTCTGCGGGACTTTCTTTGAGATACGAGGGTTAGAATATCGGTTTCGAGATCGGAGGAGTCGCAATGTCGATGTGGATTGTATCTGGGTTCAAATTCGTGATCGATCACGTTTTCCAATCCATTGTCGGGGAGATGAGCTCGAATGCAGGTGCTGGAGCTTGGATAGACGATCCCTTGATGCATCATTTTGGGATAGCGCAAGGCCCACGTGACATTGATTGTTGAAGGAGGACTATATTGCTATAAAGATTTCTTCGAGGAGACGGCCCTGTATATGAGCGGAGGGCTGACTTGTCGTTGACATAGCCCGGCGTCGGACAGCGGACAAGATTAACTCAAGGGATGTTCCAAGGAATAGCCTGGTGCTTACAGGCATCACGATACTGATATGATGCTGATTACCTCAAAACGGAGGTCAAAATCCGTGTATCCGTGAAGCCGTAGATTCGCCATGCTTTCTTGTCGCATCAAGCGTGACATCTTGAGAGGTGCTGTCATGATACTTATCAGGTGTTGCAACAGGGTTGCTTTGTCTGTGTGAGATGCCTGCGGCAAGGTTCGCTCCTCTGACAGTGCACTTTCTATTTGTCCGAGCAGTCTGAGCGGGCGACCTGTCAATGGATGCAACCAGCTGTTCTTGTTGCGCATGACGAGTTCTTGCATGTCGAGGTCGACTGCAGTAGATCTGTGACATTCCTCGAAGTACTGCAATCGGACCTTTCGTACTCTCGTACACATGGCCGGGTTGGAGTACACATGCCGGATCCAGTGCCGTACTTGACCGCGTCCCTCGCGGAATCGGAGCAGTAGGATGACCACACAATCTTCATAGAACAATGGTAAGGACTCCTTTCGGAGCGTGCTGCAGACTTCGGATATTGGCGGGTGGTATCTCTGAGGTTTCCCTTGCCACGGGGCGGACGGCAGGCCAATGGCTATTGGGCTGCGTTCGTGAGCGAAAACATGCTCCAGTATGAGCAAACGGAGCTCGGCGGGCAGCTGAAGCAGTTTCGATGCCTTTGGAGTGGGTACCATCTGCGATCTGGCGTGAACTTGAAAGTAGAGTGATGCAGGGAGCGAACAAAGTTGAGGTTGGAGGAGTCGATCGGTTGAGCTTCGGCGAAGCTTTGAGTCGATCGAAAAGGAAAGGCGTCGCCAAGCCCTAGACGTCTCCCGCACTGCCGTCTTGCAAATTCAAGCCGCCGCAGCGAAGACAACGACACTCCATCGCCAGGACATCGCCCAACCGCCAAACCGCAAAGATGTCGCTCGTCTCCGGCGAGAAGTCGAACTTCCAGTTCATCTTGCGTCTCCTCAACACCAACGTGCGTATATTCCCGCCTGCGAACCCGCGCCAAACACCCGGTCACACGAGGCTTGGACGACGAGGTGGTATGGGACAGAGACTGACGGGCATGTGACAGGTCGATGGCAAGCAGAAGGTCATGTACGCCTTGACCAAGATCAAGGGTGTCGGTCGCCGATACAGCAACTTGGTCTGCAAGAAGGCCGATGTGGATCTCAACAAGCGGTACATCTCCCTCAACCCAGCGCACACAAATCTCATCGATCTCGACCCCGAAACATACTAACGATGCTTCCTACAGCGCCGGCGAGCTTACCTCCGAAGAACTCGAGCGCATCGTCACCATCATTCAGAACCCAACCCAGTACAAGATCCCCACCTGGTTCCTCAACCGACAGCGCGACATTGTGGACGGCAAGGACAACCAGGTCCTCGCCAACGGCGTGGACAGCAAGCTCCGTGACGATTTGGAGCGACTGAAGAAGATCCGGGCCCACAGAGGTCTCCGCCACTACTGGGGCCTCCGCGTCCGTGGCCAGCACAGCAAGACCACTGGCCGTCGCGGCAGGACTGTCGGTGTCAGCAAGAAGAAGGGATAAGGGTGTGCGAGTTATTATGGTGCGACGATGGTGGGAACGGCGTCTTCATCAGGCAGATGGCTTTGGGGCGTACTATCATGCATGCATTGGTGGTGCTATAGCAGTCCGCTCACCGTGGGCATGCTGAGATAGCTCGGCCACAAAACAGAATCAAGTCATCAAGTTCAATGAGGGATACCACTTTCTTCGTACTGTTCGACATGTGCTTCTGTGTGGTGATGAGCGAAGATGCGTCGTAATCGTCTAATACTGACTGATTGAGAGCGGCTACGTCGAGCTCTGAGACAGCATTGAGCGTTCAGCATCACGACAGCCCACACCCAAAATCATCTCCAACCATGCGTAGATGGGTTCTAATCGCGACAGCGCCATGTAACGGCTATGTACGCCAATGTTTCCTAGAGTCCTCTGCTCAAAATGGAGCATCCATTCCCATTACTCGCAAGCTTTGTAACAAACCTGCAATGCGAGTGAAATTATGGTCACTTTTGGAGAGTAATAGATACAAGCGTATTGTCAACTGCCACACCTATTCGACACAATGAAAGTCCTCTCAAGGGGCATTACTCGTGCTATTCCGAATAGACCGTGTAGAGTAGGAGGACAGCAAGAGCCGAGTGCGACTTGAGAACGAGTCTATACCAGTGCCGACTGCTACGCTTCCAGAACGTTGGTGTAAAAGGCGGACCGCTTTTGGGGGTGTGGTCCAGTATCTGCTCGGGCACATGGCTGTAGCTGGGCGTGCAGGACTCCGCCACATTAAGGCACAGGGCGAAACTGAATTACTTCGTTCGTTTGGAGAGTGACCGTTGAAGAATGTCGTGTTATAGGTTGATTTAATTCATTGCATAGCGTACAGACTAAAGGAGCAAGTTCAGTCTCTGACCTATCCACCCAAGAGCCTTTTCTCTATAGCCATGACAGCATTTCCATTCTCAGTCCGCCATTCCCGTCGTAAGTATACACCGTACAGATACAGGTGCGATTGTGATCCATTCCTCCTTGACATCCTATATCCTCTGCTTAGGACTCGATCCATTCACCGTCCAACCACCTGTTCAGCATGTCAAGGGAAGCAGGAGGCTGGTCATGAGGAACCATGTGGCCTGCAGCGTGAATGCTGATGAAGGTGAAGTTGCCGGAGGACTTGACTGCACCGATCTTGCTACCATCTTCCTGGAGCTTGAGGTCCTCGAGAGGAGCCTTGGAGTATGCCTTCTGTCCTGGCCACTCCAATGCCTCCGTCCAGGCGCGATTTCCGAGGCCGTTACAGATATAATCTGCGTCCTACTCAATTGGTTAGTTTTGAAGCCTCTGGTGAAGTTGAGATGTTACTTACACCTGCGTAGATGAGGACAGGGATCTCCTTGAGAATTCCGGGCACCAGACGGTGATATGGCTTCATCCAGTCACCATTGAAGAGGAAGTTCTGGTTAATCTGCATGTTGCAGGACTCGTACTCATCGATCTCAACACCGAGGGCCTTCTTGACCTTGTCCTTGTTGAGCCAGTCCTGAATCCAGTTGAGTTCGTCGTAGCAAAGGTTGCCACCCTTGCACTTCTCGCGGACATCGTATGGGTTCTGGCCGGTACGCTGGTATGGTCCGATGAGGGCGTTGTTACAATAGATGCTGGCTGGAACGCAAGTCCACACAGACTCGCTGTTGTAGCAGTTCTCGATCAAGCTCTGGCAGCGTGGGAGAGAGTTGTCCATGCTCTGGCACTCCTGCTCATCGAGGACAGCGGGCCATGCGCCCTCACCACAGGCCATTGGGCGGTAGTACTCGTACTGGGTGTATCCATCAGTAAGACCGTTTCCGATAAGGACGGATTGGAGGTTGATGTTGCGCTTCTTGTGCGAGAGGATCTCAGAAGCGAAGACAGGAATATAGTGTCCAGCGTACGACTCGCCAGAGATGTGGAATGGCTGCTTGGCGTACTCTGGGAACTCCTTGAAGAAGAGAGTCAAGAGGGCATACACATCCTTGCCGGCGGCAACGGTGTTCGAGACGCTGCTGCTCGAGTAGGAGTAACCAACGTTCACTGGCTGATCCAAGAAGATGACCGAAGCATTGGCGTTCCAGCTGGCTGGGTTGTACTCAGTCTCGATCTTTGCATTGATGAAAGACGGGCCAAGCTCCATGAAAAGACCAGTCAGCGAAGAGCAGCCAGGGCCACCGTTCAACCAAAGAACAACAGGATCGTTCTTAGGGTCATTGCGCGATTCAAAGAACCAGTAAAAGAGATGCTTGTCGTCCTCTTCGTTGTCCAAGTATCCAGAATACTGCTTGACCTTGTCAACGCCAAGGCTAGCTGGGTCAACCTTCTTGGTGCGCAGGTTGAAAGCCTCAAGATGACCATCAATTTCGCGCTCTTTCTCGCCCTTGGAGTTGGTCGTGTACAGCTCTTGAACGTCCTGGCCCTTGGTGATGAAATCCCACTCGCTATCGTGCTTGCGAGTGTGCTTCTTGGGCAGGCTGAAGAACGACGCCTGGCTCATGCTCTCTGGGAACATCATCGCCACTTCATCCCAGACCTGCCGGGCTTCTTCGGTGAGATGCTTGAGCTCATGCTGGAGGTTCTTCAATGGCTTGGACCAAGACGAGGCCTTATCGCCGGCGGATTTGAACGTCTCTTGGAGCGACGCTGGGATCAGAGGCTGTTGCTGCTGCGGGACGGCGGCAACAGCTGCTCCGACGAGGAGCGCCGATGCGGCGACCTTCATGGCGATGGTACTGGGTCGATCGCTTGATCAGGCGACAGCTTTCCCAACGGAGATGGTGCTGAGATCGAGCTGTGTTGGTGGCGGGGAAACAGAAACGAAACAATCGATTGAGATAGGGAAGATTCTAATGAAGCTGCTGGTGGGTTTGATGGACCAGACAGCGAAGTCGAGATGGCTTGAGGAGAGAGAGGAAGCAAGAGAGGGCGAAACAGCTCAGCAAGGTCATGAGGCGGCGTCACGGTGCCTGAGCAACGGACGACATCATGCCCGAATCTAGCCTAGCTCCAAGCCCCAACCTTATCTAGGGTCGGCCAGACTTAACAAACTCTTAACCTACTTAACCTTAGCTAAGCGAGCACTTACCTACCTTCTACTACTCTTTCTCCGTTTCCTTTAGTCCTAATACCTTTATTCCTTCTACTAAAATACCTTAAAATACTATATATATCGTCTAGTATACTATTATTATACTTACGTCTTTTAGACTCGAAAACTAGCGTAACTAGATCGAAGAATAAATAGCCTAGCGAGTACCTTATAAGACGATTCGAGAGGACCTTAAAGCGAGTACTAGTATAA